GAAAACCACCCGATGCGGATGGGTCTTCATCACTGGTTTCCAAATCTTCCACCTCTTTTTTCACCTCACCTTCTTCCTTCTCCATAGGCGCCTTCCAAGTGCCAAGAAACCGCGGAAGCAAGCTGCACTTCAATCCAAGACCGTCGATGCTGGACCAGCGTTTCAGCGCAGTGTCTCTAGTCTTCCGCCGCCCAAGCTGGACGTTATGCGACAAATCGAACTCCCCTTCTCCCTCTTTTTGTGGTTCTGCCTCACAGTCCATCGAAACGGCTACGCGACTGTCCGCGCGGAGGTAATGTCGTCTACGCAGGCCTGCTTCCGCACCCATAGATGTCCTGGGTGGTTTGCTGCGGGCTCGCATTCGTGGTGGTTTGCAGGGACGTAGAGTAAATCCGGCAGATCCTCCTCCGCCAGAATCGCCCTCTTCGCTGCAGACTAGGAGGAAAGGCGAGCGGCAATCGGTTCGCGTTGTAGACGGTGCACCTATTGTGTTGAGGTCAAAGGAGATGCAGCGCTTGCTTGGCTTTTCAGTAGTGCTGCAACCCATCCTCTCATGCGACTGCTTTTGGACTAAAACGGAAAATTAACCGCCCGAGTCAGTAATGTCGGCTTACCTGCATTCGGAAATCTCTTACGCGCGTATACATGCTGGATTAAAATACTAACGCTGGCTCAGAGACCGAGGTGAACGTGCCCGTTCAGTTCACTTTTATTAAGGTAAAGAAAAGCAGAAACATTTGACCTTCCTATTTCTAACACCGTGACCTGTGCTTGTTTTATTTTTACGAAAATTCCCATTAAAAATTTCAGAAGATAAATTGGTGAACATACGTTTATATGGGAGGGGGAGTAAAGTGTAAAAGGTAAAATTGTAGGTAAATTATGCTAAACGTTAAAAGCGAATTAGTCCAGGGGATAGGGGAAGGGGTTGGGGTAGTAACAAGCAGCTAATTAAGCAGCAATTAGGGAGGGGGGGAGGGGAAAGAGGAGGCTCGGAAAAATGCCGGTAGCTAGGTGGCCTCCCCTATTAATGTAACGGCCTGATGAGAGTTTATTGAAAGTATACGTATGCTCGCCAATTGCTCTTCGAATTTTGAATAGTTTGAGGGCACCTTGTAGATCACTGGGAGGGCCTCTGTGGCATCCACGCGACGGTCTGAGTCTACCAAGTGCGCTAGAATGGAACTGTTTATACCCTTAAGTTGGCCCTTCT